TTGTGCCAACTAAATTTTATATTTTTATATTATATATATGAATCTTAAGTCACACTAGCTATATATTTAGTTAAAAATTAGTCAATATATAAACATTCTTATATTATCTTATTCGTATATATTATATATTCATTATATTGCCCTAATTCTTTATTTTTTTATTTTTAACAAAGTATTTTTATATTGATTTTTTCTTCTGTAATGAGTAGGGTCGGGAAATCCATTCCCCATGTGGCCAAGGGTGGGAGTAGGAGTAGGGCTTGGGTTGAGGCTCGGGCCCCTTGTTTTCTTCTCCCATAACCACTCTCCACCCGCAACAGACCCTTTTCTCCTTATGTTTTTTTTCACCCCAGACCCAACCCCCACCCCCAACATAAGGCCATCTCCAGTCATAGGGCTAAATGTAGTCCAAGACTAAAAATTTATCCCCCCAAAATATTAATTTTTTTAAGAATAGTGCAGGGCTAAATTTTTCCATCTCCAGCCATGTAGGGCTATATTTTAGAGTCCTTCATATTTTATTATTTTCAAAAAGGGGAGTAGAGAGTGCTTTAATGATTGGTTGTTGAAAAACACATGAATGTGTCCCACTATAAATTTGGCCTAGGCCAAAGTTAGGCTACATTTGGCCCGGTTGGAGGGTTAAAGGGCCAAATATGACCCTCCAAATTTGGCCAAAATTTTATTTAGCCTATGACTGGAGATGAGTTTTGCATTAATTTAGGGCTATATTTGGGATATAGCCCATGGCTGGAGATGATCTAACTTCCTCTCCTTAGCCTCCCTTTTCTCTCTCTCCCATTCAAGCTCCCCCTCCCCTCTATTTTTTTAATTGCAACAAAGGGAAGGCAAAGGTGAAGTGGCTGGGCCCCACTGTTTATTAAAATGATTGATTATTTGTTTTAGATTTCATATTATTTATTTTATAGTATTTAATTATTTTAACATATAAAATGACCAATTTGCCTTTATATTTAACGTCAAATTGAATGAAATATTGAGATTTAGACGGTAAGAGGGAATTGGCAATAAAAATTAGTTTGTATACTTAATTTTCCAAAAAAAAAAAGTTGAGGGTGCAAATTAAAAATAGCATACAAGTTAAGGGAGTAAATCGCAGCTAACCCAAAAAAGAAAAAGAAAATGGTAGGGTTTGGTGGGCTGTTTGGACAAAATCTGAAAGGGATTGAAAGCGCAGGGGTTTATTTGTTTGTATTGTAATTTAATTTAATTTGCACCCACAACAAAGCCACTCTGTGCTGTCCATGATTTGCCGGGCATACCAAACCAAGTCATTCAGCGAGCACATGATTGAAATTAACTCCACTGCCTGGACAATGTCCTTGGGAATTTTCATTTTCCTTCAGGGTTTCTTGGGCAGAGCAGAACATAAGTGAATTTCCATTGTTAGCCTCAGTTCTGTCAAGATATTTTTATTGCTCAAGGTTTGTCAGTGGCCACCAAACCCAGCAAAGTTGTTGAAGGTCATAAAGATCTGTGTGTTGTGATTTGCATACAAGCTCTTTGTGCGTGGTGTTTTTTTTTTCCCTTCTTTCTTTGAAGGCCTTCTTAAATTGTATGCATTTGTGGGTGTTGGTGTCTGAAAATGGTAGCGAATAAATAGAGTCTCTGCTGCACCTGCAATGCATAATGGTGTCTGTTAAACCTGACTATCAAGACAGAATTACAGCCCACTTGCTTTGCAAACTAAGGCCCTATTTGGTATCTTACGAAAAAAATATACTCAAAAATTATAATTCTTTTTAAAAAGATGAGTTTTCAAATTGTGATTTTAAGGTCTCAAAAATATTGAAATTAAAATCAGAAACCCTATATTCCCAAATTGAAATTAACAAAAGAAAAGGAAAATCCGTGAGCTTTCAATATAAACCCTAGAAACCCAAAACATGAAAAAAGATTGATCAATTTTGGGTCGGGTAGTGGATGAAGGAGACCTTGATGGCCTTCACGGAGCAGCAAACGACGGCCTTCATGGAGCTGCGAACGACAACGTCAACGTAGAACCACCAATCTCATAGAGAGAGAGAGAGAGAGAGAGAGAGAGAGTAAACGGGTTTTTTAAGTTTTTGGACTTAAAATGTGTTTTTGAGTTTATAAAATTGGATCCAAGTAGGATACCAAACATGCCCTAAAAAGTTTGTTGGGTAGGTTTTCGAATTTAAGACATCTTTCAACGTTGGAAAATAAGTACAACTAGACTAAGACCCCGTTTGAGATTGCTTTTTTTTCGCCAAAAACCCGCTTCACTTTAAAGTTAAGCAGTTTAAGATGTTTGGTAAAAATAAAATATCATGATTATTTTAAAAGCAGTGGCCTTTTGATAGCAGCTTTTAAAAACAGACTCTGGGTTGCTTTCAAAACTGCTTTCAAAAGAAGCAGAGTTGAACTTTTAATGATTTTTTTTAATTTGCAAAATATCATCATTCATTTTAAAAAATGACACCACCTCCACTTCCACATCCAACTCCACCACTTGCACCACCACCTACTCCACCTCCACCTCCACCACCACCATTACCACCACAACCACCTCCTCCTCCAAAACCTCCACAACCACCACCATGCTGCCACCACCACCACCACCACCACTACCACAACCACCAACTCCACCTTCATCACCACCACTACCTCCACTCCATCACTACCACTACCACCACATGATTAGTACATAACATTTTTAACATCATGTCTATTTTAGTCATTATTCACAGTTACAACAATTTTATATTAAAATTTACCAAATGGTTTTGACACTGTTTTTTGTACTAACAACACTTTAAAAATATTGTTTTCCAAACATGGAGCTGCTTTACTTTACAGCTAATTATTTTCAAAGCACAGCAGAAGTAACTTTTTTTTAAAAGTGACAGCAATTCCAAACTGAACCTAAGAGCTGGTTGGTGTGTTTGTTAACGTTTGAGTATGCAATGTGTATGTACTTACAAGATGAATGAGGCTCTACTTGCCACATGACAACAACCCTTGATGAAAACAAACGTTCAATTGTATACATAAACATGTGGCATAATAAATAACCCTACAAATGTACATATAGAAAAGATATGCTAGGTTTTATGAGGGTTCTGCTGAATAATTAAGATGTTGATTTTATTAAGCTCACTTAAAATATTGTATTGAAGACCTTGATTTTAATAATGTCATTTTCAAAGTTAATAATTTTACTGACATAGATATAGAAGCCCAGCCCAGGCCCTAGCTCTAGCCCAACCTCCAGCCCTTCATTGTTTCTCAAATTTTAGAAACCAACCCATGACAGGCCCAACCAACTCAGCATTCACCCACTGCGAAATCGCAAAATTCTGTAACGAGGCTGTCATATATAGACCTCTTATGTGAATCTTCATATTAGTCACGAGATCATTTTATTAAACTTAAGTGAAGATATTATTCAAACGCATCGTGTAACTAATATGAAGGTCCACATTTATAATCCATATATGATACACTTACCATAAAACGACTCTTGTAAAACGCTAAATCGAGGAAAAGGAAGTGCATATGCTGCAGGAAAAGGAACTGCCTTGCTGACCTTTAAATTATAAAAAATAAAAAATCTTTAGAGCTGATTGAAATAATCTGGTTATGTTGACAAATTTTGATAAATCTCACTTTCCCGCCGCTGCTTTCAAATTTATAAATCATAAAAACCATTAACTTGCTAAAATAGCAAATATACTTTTCTACTTTTAGCCCTTACAAATTCAATTTAAATTATTATTATTTTTTTTGGGTCAAGAAAACTAAAACTGATTAAGAAAACTATTTTAAAAAAAATTTAAATTAAAACCCACCCCACGCCACGCGCGCGCTCAGTCCCGCCGCTCCAAAACCCAACCCCATTCCCCGGAAAAACCCTAAACCCGACGGATCCCCTCCCCAACCCAAAAAACCCACTCTGAAAAGAAAGGAGCGCCTCTTCAGCCTTCGACGGTGCTCAAATTTCTCTTCCTTTTCTCTCTCTCTCTCTCTCTCTCTCTCCACGGTAACCGTAGAGATCAGGCTTCGGTGGAAAGAGAAGCGAAGGGGTCGACGATGTTGATGTGCCAACGCCGAAGCGGTTGAGAACTCGTCGGGTCGGGTTTGGATCCGGTTTTGCAAACACCGCTTCAAGAGGAAACACGACGCGATATAGCTTCATGGGTACGCTTGGAATTTCTCTACTAAAATGCCCATGCCATATTTTCTTAATTACTTAGTCAAGTGCCTACCCAAATTTGACGAATTGTGCCAAATGCGAGACTCGAACCCGAGCGAGCTCCTCCTTATCCTAAGAAGCGCACGTCCACCACCATCCCGTCTATCACGCGCTATTTGCAATTATTTTACATTTAAATACTAAGAATACGTTTAGCGGTTGGCTCGTCCTCCCACCTCTCCCAAACCCTAGTAATGGTGATGCAGAACAGTTAGCAGAGGTAACTCTTTTTCAACTTATCAGTTTCTCTTCAAAGTACATGATTGTAAATATATTATTGGATGGAAGATTTATATATGGGTTCACGGTTAAATACTCGGGTTGTATTTGCTCAGTTGAAGGTGCTAATAATCTTGTCTAGGAGAATCATTTGAACGTTGTTTTAGGGAGTTTCAGTCAAATTCGGAAACCCCAAAAAGAAAACAAATTCTGATATAATTCACTTAGTAGGGCAATTTTAATGTGACTTTGGACTGCAAACAGAGTGCTTTGTATCCATGGAACTCAATGTGATTTTTGTTTGTTTTCCTGTTTGCCTTATTTGAAGACGGGCTTCTGCCTAATATATGTAGAAACGGTTGTTGAAGTTAAACGCAACATGGAGGATTTGGACGATATTTTCCTTGACCCTTCTAATGCCCTTGGTAAGTCTGCACCTAGAACTTGAAGAACTTTTCATATTTCCTATTTTTATTTGGTTCAAGAGATGGGTAACTGATTTCTATTTTCGTTTGCAGCTCGTCCTGGCGGCCGATTTCGACCCAAGGCGAAGCCCCGGCCAAGCAAGGTAGCATCTACAGCAGCTGCTTCTGCTCTCCCTAATGACAGAACGGAAAAACCTGCCACATTATCTCCCACTGTCTCAGATACTGTTCCATCGGTTAAATCCGTTGATGTTGGAGATGTTAAAGTAACAGATCCTGTAGGTTCGTCCTTAGCCACATCAGAGATTCTTGGGAACATAGAGCCAGCAAAAAACAATGAGAATTTATGTACAAATGTTGCATCGTCTGATGGCAACAAGGAGACGAAACCTTGTGAGTCAGCTGCAACAGCTGCTCCTCAACCGGAGGTTGCAGCTTCTGCTGGAACAGCAGCAGGGGAGGTAAGAAACGAATACCTATTTCCTGGTTTCTTAGTTTTCCATTTCATGTTGATAACTTCTGATTTTTCCAGAATGCAGACATATTCTCTGGGTTGGAATGTCTTGATGGTTTTCTAGGTCAAACTACCAGGGGTACAGGTGACTAATGCAAAATACAATTTTTTTTAAAAACAGTAGAAACATTGACTAGTACTGTCTGTTGACACTTAATTCTTTCAGCAGAGAGTGCTGCCAGTAAATCCCATGTTTCTGCTGAGTCTTCAGCGTTCATGGTTTGTGATGTTGCAGAAGCTCAAACTTTTTCTGATTGTTGTACAACCCAAGATCCCGTGTCCTGCAGAGAAGTTTCTGTTTCTAACAAACCGGATGAAGTGCAGTTAGAAACAAAGGTGAAGACTTGTACTGTCACAGAAGTGATTCTTGTTCAATTATTAGTTTTGATTAATTGGGCAGTTTATGATCAATGTCAGGTAGATGGGGCTTTCTCAGAATTTGAAGTTCTAGATGTTGTGTCTGATGCTACCATTTTGTCTGGTATGCGCACGATCACTTGACTTTTTCCTTTGCTACTGTATTGTTTGTTGTGTATTTCAATGAATTGTTTGTTGTGTATTTCAATGAGTCTGGTTTGATTTAGGACAACGTGTTGGAAAATTTCAACCCAAGCTCAAAGTGAAAAAAGGAAAGGAGCATCTGCACATCCCTCCCGCTGAAGTTGAGTGTATGCTTTCACAAGCTGTGTTGGTGCCTTCTGAAACTGACATGAATGAGAGCTCACTTCCTGCCCCCACACCTGGACATGTTCTTGATCACCCGTCTCCAAGGTTTGGTGATTCTAGTACCCCACATCCAACCTCTGATCCCCTAGTGAATACAGGATACATTGCAGAAACTACCCACTCAGATGGTGCCATTTTTGGGGATGATGTGCATTCAGAAGATGTTGGGGGGACACCTGGAAAAGAGGTAACTTTTTTCAACTTAAAATTTCCATGCATGTCGTATTGCGACTTAAAATATAATTCAGTGTTTAATTGTGTTGGAACACCTGTTTGTATTTGTTTATTGGATTGCACAGGGTCATAAGAGTAGAAATAGAAAAGGTTCTACTGCATCAAATCGTTCTCAGAAGTGCAAATCTTTTGCAGCCAGTGAGGAGGCTGAAGGTGGGACATCATCCAGGAAGTTGAGGAAGCGGTTACCTCGTCAAGAAGTTGAAGAGCTAGTGCATGAGGTTCTAGTGGATCAAACGTCAATGAAGACGAGAATAATGATAATGAATATAGGGAGCATAAGACATCACAGAGGAAAAGAGCCCCAAGAAAGTCCAAGGAACCTGAATCTGGAAAAGAAGAACCAGTACAAAAGCGTAAAAGAGCCAAGGAAGCACCTGATAAATCAACGAAAGACCCTCCCAAAAGGTTTTCCCATTCAACTCGTAGAACCAAAAGACATGGTAAATGAATTTCTGGGTATATAACATTATGAGACACGAAATTTGTATGTCATTTTAATTTTCTAACCCTTCGCAGTGGACAAGTCTTTGCTTGAAATCCCAGAGGATGAAATTGACCATCAAAGGTTGTCTCTAAAGAATCTCATTCGTCTAGCAGAGCATAGGGAGCTGTTAGCGGTATTTCTATTTTTCTAGTTTTTCTGGTTAAATTTTCGGATGAGGAACTATGATGCTGTTTCACTTAATAATCCTTTTATAGCTCTATCTATATATGTTTTTTTCTCCAACATTGACATTGCTTTTTTGCTTCGTCCCTATGTCGTGTAGATTAAAGAGGCAAGAAAAATGACAACTCCAGTCCCCGATGAAAGGTACTTGAATTCTTATGCAGAAACCATATCTTTATATTTGATCATGCTTGTTGAAGTTGTATACTATGGTTCATGCAACAATTGACATTTGGATTGGAATTTTTTTTGCTCGTGTATATAGTAGCATTATGTCCCTAGTAATCTTGATGATGTTTGATTTGAATTTCTTATGTTTGTGCATTTATCTTTCTTGTGATTCTTTATATGGTAGTGCTATACTTGTTTAAATGAATGGCAAACATGATGCATAGAGGCATACAAATATATAAATATAGTTTGGACTTTTTATGTTTTTTAGATTCATAAGTTTGCTGAAAGTGTCAGATGCATTTATTTCTTCTTTCCTTTTTATCTCTCAATTTTCTTTATTGACTGAAAGCAGTCATTTCTTGAAGGTTAAGATCTTATGTAGACCATCACTTCCAGGATCCCGCTTTTGCTGGACTAGTGCTGTTAATGTCGTATTTTTTCTGTGTTGTTTGTTTTGATAGTAATTTCTAAGTTTGCAGATCCCCTGATATGTATTGATACTTTGACTGTGCACTGGATTTAAAGCCATTTTAAAATAACTACAAATTGAATATTAGTAATAATTTATATGTATGTCAGTTACTGTAAATTGAATAAAACAGTAACTAGAAATATTTACAAATAACATTAGAACAAAAATTGCCAAGGTTGGATGGTTTTGGGTTGATGTGTAGGCATCTCGCTTTCTTTAGAGTGATTCATGTCACAACACTTGTGTGTTGGGATCTCTAATGCATTGCGCTCCTCATATGACATCCCAACCACCATGCTGTTCGTCTTACAAATCTGCCCTATTTTGTGCGACAAGAGCTCTGAACGTTCAATACCCATTGTCAAAAGATAGTGATGAAGTAGTTGTAAGATGCGTATGAAATTATTGTATGTGTCGCTTGTATAAAATGGCCATACATGAGGATGTATTGTTTGAAAGTATTATAAAGGTATTAATATGGATGGAATAGAATGATTGTGAATTGGGCCTTTTGAGTCAGCATGCTTTCACAGATTAGTAACTTTGCTTGAACCCACTTGAGGTTACAACCATGTGACAGACGTATTTCTCGAATATAATTGAGTTGTCTTTTCAGGACAGGAGGGTGGGGGCCTTGTAAGCATTAGCAATGTTTAGTTTGAAAAATGTTTGATATATGACATTTGATGAAATGTAGACACAAAGGCTGACGTGCTTGGTTTTGAATAGGTTGTTTTTACTATCATTCTTGGAGTCATATATTGTCCATTGATGCACATTTCTTATTATTATTTTTGTTATTCTTTCATTGCAGTGCTAACAATGATTCTCACAAGAAAGCTTATCACGATGAAGAGAATGAAGAGGAGACCTTTCCTTCAGAACACGACGGAAACTCTGAAGAAAATCAAGCAAGTTATCGGGTTAATGCGAGTTCATTTTTACTCAATTACCAGTCGTACATGGACAAAACACCCACCGTAAGATGGTCTAAACAAGACACAGAACTGTTCTATGGGGTAATGTACCTATAATTTCACTACAATTAACTGGCTACCAATTGAAAATAACTTTGACATACCATATATGTGATTGATGGTGAAAGCTGATGAGTTATCAGTCTCAGTTTGCAGAACAGCACTAGTTGATTTTCTTAGAACTCTAATTGCGATTTAAAAACTTTGTTTCATTCCTGATTAAGAAGGTTGTTGCTGGTATTCTTTTCCAAACAAGTGGCAACTAATTGTATAAGAGGTCAAATTAAATTTGTCTTCACATGTGATTTAGGCTATTCAGCAGTGTGGATCAGATTTTACCATGATTCAAGAACTTTATTTTCCCGGTCGAACACGTCATCAAATCAAGTTGAAATTCAAGAAGGAAGAACGTCAAAATCCATTACGTATCAATGAAGCCATATTAAGTCGTTCAACTTGTTCCACAGGTCAGTCCTTAATTTATTATTTATTTACTGTTTTAATCTTCCCCTAAGAACCTACCCAAGACCATTAATTGCCCACCTGTGCAGATGGAAACCTCCCTATTCGTTGTGTTTGTTTACTCTTATACGAATTCCATTTGATGAAGCATAACGACAATTGTATATACTTTGTGTAGAAATTTTTTCCCTGATTTTAATTTTAATAAATAAAAACCAAATAAAATAAATTTAATGTTCATTTATCTATGCTTAAAGTCAATACAATTGTTGTTTTATATGCCACCCCAAACCACACATGGAGCTTCATACTGTTGTACAATATAATAATTTTCTCTTGCAGATCATTCCCAATTTACTTCATATATTGAGAGGCTGCAACAAGTTGCTCAGGCAAACAAGGAGGAGGAAGCAGAACCAACTCATGATACTGACGTATGCATTTTCTATCTTTTCTCTGGCTCTCTTCTGTGAGATGCTTATGTTCTGTTGCTATATATTTTGGGAAAAATTATGTTTCTGTGTGTCTATATTTAGATCTCCACGAAGATAGTTACTCATTTTTATAGACAAACTTCATTGCTTGTACTTGTTATTCTCCAGTAGGAGGTAGTATATCACACGGAAGAATCTGCATACCGGAATTGTCGATGGTTTAGGAGTTGTACTCTTTATGAAAAGGAAATAAAAATTATCTTCAAAAGCTTCGAGTTGGTTGATCTTAGATGATCCAATTTTTATTTATTTATTTATGGCTTTAATCTCTTTAGAGGACCAACCCGTTGGATGACTAATTGACTATGTAATTTGCATGGCATGTCTCTTTTGCCCTTGGACATCCTCCATGAATATTTTAGAATGTGGATACATGCTCTAAACCTTTTGTGCTCTTATTGTTTACACAACTTCTAATCATTTATGTTTTGTATCTCTTTCTATTGCTTGTAGTAGCTTTTCTTTTGTTTTTTTTTTAATCAATAAAAAAAATATGCTGCTTCTTATTACTTTCAGGAGGGAGTGAAAAAAACTGAGTTGGAAGAACCTGAAGATCAGGAAGCTGATGTTGCTGAAGTTCAAGAAGAAGCTTTGGATGCTGAAGTTGATAATCCATTGAAGTCTGATGAAATTGATGACGAAGAATTTACGTGGTCGGAATGACAAGTCACGAGTTTTTTTCCCCTAATATATTTTTTCAGCCATGACTGACTTTCAACGAGAAGATATCGTACTGACAAATTGAAGGAGATTCAAATCTTGTTATTGAGAGTGTTACACAAGGAAGACTAACACATGGAAATCATTCTCATTTTGACTATGGAGAATGTGGAGATAAAAACGCATACAGTATATTGAGTAGCCAACACAGTTGCAGATGAACTGTAAGCACGGGACGGGACAATCGATACCTCAGCCTCAAATCTGGGCACAAAACTATACCATATATTTTGATCTTATCAGCTTTTAGGCCTCTGCGATTGTAATATTGTTTTCGATAGCAAAATAGATAAAAATATTTAATAATGAATGCTCTCATATCTAATTTTTTTTGTAAAGATATGTATGGGGGAATTATTTGGCCTTGCAAGCGTTATAATTTGGTCCAAAGTATTGAGTGTTTTTCATTCCTTGGTTCATCCATGTTTCCTGCCAATCATGCATGAGAGCTCTTCAAGACGACATGTGAATGATGCGTGCAAGCTCAATGCTTTACAAATTATAGAATATTAATTTCCATAATTTTTTTAATTACTTCGTGAGATTGATAAGTAATAACGATAAGGTGACAATGGTGAGTTTTATGCTTGGGCAATTTTGCTGATGCGGACTGATTACCGCACCAAAGTCGGCCATCAATTCTGCAGTTGGTGCGAGGAAGTTGGTCACAATATCTTCCGCTGCCCCTTGAGGAAGGTTGGAGACTTGGATACAGGGTTTGGAGGCTCAAATTTATTTTTAGAATACTAATATTTTTTTAATAATTGAAATTATGTTTAAAATAATTTTAAGGTACGCAAAATTGTTTAAGATAAGTAAATATAATTACTTAGTATTTATCAATTGATTTATGAAATTAATTAAAATACAATTTATGAAATTAATTAAAATACTCTTTGGGTTGAACATGACAATGTCTTGTCAATTATTATTAGTTGCAAAAATCCTATACCGACACATGGATGTCAAAAATCCTATCCCTAAATATTTTTCTCTTCTAAAATGTATTTTAAATAAAATATAAATAGTAGTTTAATTAAATTAACTAATAAATTTACATAATATACTAAAGACTATTAAAATATTAAATTTAGCCCTTTGCTGCTGGAGAGAGACGCTTAAAATGTAACATGACACTACTCCTTATAAAATCAGTAGGAGTCGAACGGTACTTCAGACAAGTAGGCACGCAACGCCTCCGTCCAGAGAAAGAGAAACTAGTAACTCCAACTTCCTAATGTGAAGAAAAAGCAGAATGGGAAGTGAGGCTCCCCGACAGGAGCCGAAGAGGATTGAATGTAACCCAAAGCTAAATATAGCCCTCCTCACCTGGAAATGGTCTAACGTTCCTTTCAATGTATATAAGTGCACTAATGCCAAATGCATAGGCTCAAAATTCGTGATTAAACTATCGGGTTGACTATGCCCATCTAAACAGACAGCGTTTAATTTTAGCAGTATTAGCTAGGTCATCTTGGATCCATCTGGTATCCCACAAGGACATGATCAATAACATTATTCTAATTCTAACAGTGTTTAATGACGATACTTTCATCCACAAGGACAGCAGATCTATGATTAGGAAACTATGGCCGACCTTCAGCCTATGCAATATTCTGGCACAGACAACTGTGACTTAGCTATTGTATGCCAATGGAATATAGAAAATAACAAAAATAATTTATACGATTTGAAGGTCTATGGCATATAAAATTTGAATTGGATGATGTGTATTATAGAACAAAATTTTGTACAATATATATAACACAAAATTTGTCTCACAATATAGCTGTTTGGATGATGTTCATACAATACCTGTTTATTTTGTAGCATGTTTATATTGTG